TAGTTACAATAAACAATTCTTTATTGTCCCAGCAATTTTCAGGGAAAACAGCCTACCAGCTTAGACTCCACCGTTTTTGTGGTTCATAACTCAGAACAATCCATGCCCTGTCACAGTACACTGAGTATTTACAACAGACTCAGCAGAGATCACAGCAAAGGCAGACTATGTCACTTATGCGTTCTAAGAGCATATGCACAACCACATGGGAGACAACCAGCCTCCCCTTCATATATATTCTTTTTTTATTTTCTTATTTATACCTTCCCCAAACAGAGACATTCAACAGTAGTTAGAATGGCCATCTCCCAACATTTTAAAAAGCTGCATCACCCAGTGGGTGAACAAAGAAAAGAGTGGCAACCTAGAGTTCAGCCAAGTCAGCCACTGTGGAGCCTTTAGTGGTGAGGTCTTCCAACTTCAAAGTGATGTGTCTTCAACATATACCATCATTTTAGTGGAAAAACATAATTAATTTTGGTGAAATGAGATTCACTTCCAGACAGGATTAGTAACAGCATTCACTGAGCTTCTGCTCTTCTTGGTGAACTGTGAGGAAAATGAAAGGTAGCTAGAAGATCAGTGGGATTCCAGCTCCAGCTGCAGAAGGACAAAACACCGGAAACAAAAACATTTATGCTCTGATTCACAAAGCTGACAGCAGTTTCCAACCTGCAACTTAGTTACAGACCAATGACACACCTTTTCAAATGGCAAAAATACAAAAAAGTGTTACAAAAATATTTCAGAAAAAGTGCATAGTCTAAGTGCATAGTAAATAAAAGCACTGAAAAATATCTCGCTAGAGAGGGAGCTCAGCCTGGAAATTTATAGCCAAAGCTGAACAGTTTTATCTTACACAAACTATACTCAAAAATAGCTTTATGAGACTGATTTCTGGCTAAAAGTATCAAAGGGTTTATTAGTCAAGAAACAAACACCTTAACTGACAAGCATGGTTAGAAAAGAAACAGAAGCTGCCACCCACCAGTCCCAACTCACTAAGCCTTCCTTTAGCTTTATGGTACGAATACATCTCTTCATAACAGAATATGGCAATCATGGAATTAGTTATTGCTGTTCAAATAAAAAAACCACAACAAATCAATCCCAATAATCTTCTCAAACACGTGTCAATTTACAATTCAGAGTATTTTACACAATAGGCTCCTGGCAGCATTTTCAGACAAATGAACTTTTAATTTATCCTGACATGCTGTAATGAATAAATTACACCATTTGAAAAATTATGGTCAATAAGTTTCCCCTTCATTTGGATCAGAGGGAAAAAGGAAAGCGGCCAAAAGAGACCATGAGGAAGCGTGCACAGGAACCTACAGAGAAGCAGGGCTAGAGGTCAAGATCACTACTTCACACTGTGTTGATACTCTTAGAGCCATTTCACAAGGATTTTAAGAAAAATATCTTGTAATATAGTTATTAAACCCTTAACACTTCCACTCATATTCAAAATCAGTCCATCTGCTTGCTAGTCAGTGGCCACAGGAGTCAATGCCAAAGTTATGGCAGCTGCAGTACTGGGTATTGTGTCTGTGAGTCATTGGAAGAAAACGGAAAGGATGCTCTTCTCTTTAAGACAAAAAAAAAAAAATGTTTCGCAGCAGAGGAATATAACGATGACTTGCAGTAATCTATAAAAAAAAAATTAGGGAAAGCTGGGCATGGTGGCTCGTGTTTTTAGTCCCAGGACTCTAGGGAGGCAGAGAGGGAATAAGATCTCTGAGAGTTTAGGGCCAGCCTGGTCTATATAGTGATTCCAGGCTAGCCAGAGCCACAAAATGAGACCCTGTCTCAAAACATAAAACAAAAAATTGAGATATACTTCATGTTGAGTCAGCAAGGCATTTTGTTTAAAAAAATTTCACTTCCTTACAGAAACAGTTTTTAGTTTTTAATGAACTTGTAAACAAAAAGCTCCCATTTCAAAATAAAAACCAAATCCCAGATCATACAGATGTTTACAGTGATTACATTTATCTAAGCACACACATACATGTTCAGCTGTAAGACAGTAACTAAATTTGTGACAAATATGCTTTTATAGTAGCAAGAACATTATAGAGTTAATGCAGAGTCCTAAGGATAATCTAGTAGTCGCTATGTTTTTTTTCTTAAGTCTTCACTTTAGATGCTGTTATTTCTAGCACAGGTAAGCAGGCAGAGTCTTTCAAATGCTCAAACACTGGAATCTTTGGTTGCTACCATATCAGCTGGCTTGCAAACAAGAAGCCAGCCTTTTAAAGAATGTTTTAAGTTAACAACTTGCAAACCCCAGGGATGGAAAGCCCTAAGAACACACAATTGTGAACATTCACAACCATCACAACTGTGGCTGAAGACTGTTCATGCCGTTCTTCTGAAAAGAGATCTCAAAAGCAGTATAGTTCAAAATAAAAGGTTTTAAACAAAAAAATTGGCATATGCACAATTTCTCCACCAATTCGTGTGTCAACCATTTAGTTAACTTTTCCACTTGAAAAAAAAAATGCAATAGAAAACCGGACACCATGTTTCACTACCTCAGTTAATATTCACAATTACAGCGGCTACAGCTCAGGGTCAGCACCAGCAATGCTGCCCAGGGCCAGTTTATACTGAAATTAAGTTCTTTACACCAAGTAAATGGTTGTCCACAACCACTGGCTAGTGTACATATGAACTAAAAGTCTAGTTTGGGGAGAAACAAATGCTGCTCCAATCATCTGCTCTGCTGCTTCTCTTCCTCAATTCATGCCTAGAAACCTATTAAAAAACAAAACAGAAAAAGGTTGTTACAAGTTTTAAATTTTTACAAACTCCCCAAATTAGAGAACTAGGACAATAATCACATTTTAGTGGCTGTTCTTAACGTGAAAATCATCAAACCTGACCTTTCAAAATAGAGTACACAACTTTCTAATTAAAGCCATTTCCCGCTGATTTGAATGACCCAGGAAGAAATCTATAGTCAGTTACAGCCTCAGCATCCAACTTTCAGCTATAGTAGTGAATGGCTAGCTATCCAAGAGGATGTCCACTTCTTTGGGACCCAGAACACAAGCTATTTCAGAAACTCAACTGAAATGAGAAACTGGTGACATTACTGCAACAACTAGAGGATGGTTCTAACTAGATCAGAAGCCAACTTTTGTGTATACCATTTCTGGCAGAATTTTCACAACAGTAACAGTTATTCCACTTTTTAAAGCACAACTTTACTTTGTTATACCTCTAAGAAATATGTAATCTGCATACAAAAACTTTACACTGATCTTCATACTTGTTTAACTTCCACTGTTGCATTAAAAAGAAGTGTCCCTGGGCACATGCCTTTAATCCCAGCACTCGGGAGGCAGACCCAGGCATAATCTCTGTGAGTTTGAGGCCAGCCTGATCTACAAGAACTAGTTCCAGGACAGGCTCCAAAGCTAGAGAAACCCTGTCTCAAAAAACCAAACCAACCAAGCCCCCCCCCCCAACCCCGACTCTACTCACTGACTTGTGAACTAGAAATAAGCAATGCAATGCTTTGGCACTGTTTACTTCCTGTCCTATCTTGTTGTACAGTTCCTTCTCCCATAAGCCAGGGCTTCTGCATTAAGGATGCTGGTTCTAAACGGTTCTTTATGGCTAGAGACAGAATAAACACGCCCACCTATTGATACCCTTAATATCAAATAATAAGAGCCATTTTGTCTATTCCCTTCTAATCCCCCAGATGACTGAATTACATTTCTGACTATTTAACTTCAACAAAAATCAAAACCAAGCCTACCACATCACAGAAAAACCATGCTTTGGCCAGTATGTATTTCTTCCCCAGCCCACCCGCCAACACTGGTGGGACTTCCTTTGGGTTTGGTGAGATTTAGAATCTAACCCTACTACTTCTTATTACAGATGTTTTTACGACTAAAACTGTTAAGTCAGTATCAAACATTTATAATCATCATTTTTTTTTAATAAGCATTCCTTCACCAGTTAACTAGGAACTTTTCATTGGGAGGAAAACCAGACATCCTCACGTATTTGGTAAATACAATTAAGCTTTGAAGGCAATGATGTGCTTTACTCCTCCTTCCCATTGTCAACCAGGAGCAGCTACTTAACAAACCCAATTCCATCATCCTAAGAGCATAGAAAACAAACACTAAGATTATGAAATAGCACCAGCAAACTTAAAACCAAAAAATCCGTTGTGCACACGCACTCTTGTGTGTGTGTATATATACTTGAGTGTAGGCACACTTGTATTCAGGCTAGAGGTTGAAATTAGGGTGGTATCTTTCCCGATGGTTCATCACCTTGAATATACCAATGCAGGACCTTTTGCTGAACCTGGAGCTCACAATCGGGCCAGCTTTCTTTGGGGACGCTGTCTCTTACTTCCAGATGTTGGGATTCCAAGTAGATAACCATATCTACCCAACTTAAGAGTTTTGGAGGATCTGAAGGCTGGTCCTCATATTCTGTGCTAAGAGCTTTATCTATTGGGCCACCTCCCCAGGCACAGTAAGGCCTACTTTAAAAGGCTACTAAACCAAACCCTAATTCATTTGTAAACTGACCAGACCGCAATCTAATTCCAATTCATGGAGTAATTAATAAGTTAAAAATTTAAAATCTAGATAGAAACTATGGACTAGCTAAATACAAAGGATCTTTATCCCCATCAGTATTTGGCTTTAACTATGAAAGTTATTCATAAATTGTAAAAATGACTTTCCTGGCTACAAAAACTATGGCTCCTCTCCTTTATAATAATTTGCTGTAATCATGTGATTATATTTTAGTATTTCGTTACACTCAGTATCCCTCTACACGATCAGGTATGAAGTGGAAAACCAGCCACTAACAAACTATAAGCCAAATATAAAACAACTTAGTTTTTAATAACAGGGAAGTTCTAGGTCAAAAGTCTTTGTGGAACAGTTAGTTCAGTCTCTGGTTACAACTGTTTAGGGCTTGGTTGAAGATTAGCCTAACAATATTCCTGGTAGAATAAAGTAGTCAAATCCAGTTTGAGTTCTTCAGCTAGACAGGTCAATGGTAGGATGTTCTTTCTACCCAGGTGACATCCCTCAAATGAGCGGTTCTTGGATGGTAATCAAGAAGGAAAAACACAATAGCAGGCCTCCAACATTCAGTCTTCAACCACCACTAAGCACAGTCTCTTCCACTGTGCTTTGGTTTTTGTTTTAAAAATCTTGCAGCCTGGGTAGCACTTGTGGATCCAGAGTAAATCTTCACTGACATCAGTTAAAATGAGGAATGAACCTCTTCTTTTCCTAAAAGAGAGGGAGAGTGAAGACTATTACCAAAGTTGCAGGGTTAGTGTGACTACCCAGGAATTAAGCTACTCTTTAAACAGGAAAAAAGTGCTTATTTTATCTAACAATCATACTTTACCCCCTCAAAAAGTAATCTACAAGAAATGTATCTTTATTAAGGAATTCACTGCCAACATGTCTAATAAAAAAAATAGCCAGAATCCATTTTAAACAGGTATAGTTATGTTTTGAGACAGGTTCCTCCTGTCTCTACATACGTCTGTGTTAATGAGATTATAATTAAGGTCTACCATCCAGTTAAAGGATGTTCATACAGTAATAAAGTTTATATATTTGTGGTGGGTGTTTGAAATTTAGACTCCTTCCACAGTATAATAAGAACGAAACCATTTATTATCATCATTTATAATCAACATACATAACCATTTATAATCAACATACAATGTCATTTGTATTAAGTAACTTTTTCTACAATATTCTCCTAGGGTCTTCTGGTTATACAAGATTAAGCTAGGTGAATTAAGCTGCCAGTATGTACGAAACTAACAAATTCTGCTCTACAAAATGAACACTGTGAAAGATGAAAGTATTTTTGATTGCACACCGGCAATTTATGTGACAGGTTCAATTCCTCCTTAAATTGGACCAGCAGACTAAAAACAATCTGAATGACTGTCTTCTCTACCCAGATTCATTTTCTAATAGTTTCCATAGTCGCTAAGCTGAACATACCTGTTACAAAGGAATTTGTCCCAACTGGCAGATGGTGGGCATTACACAGCGCTCTCCCGGGCCTTCTGACAGCCATCACAGAACCTGAGCTGAGAGTTAACAGGCCCAGGGAGCCTTGAAGGTCTCTTGCACTTTCTTCATTTCTTTTGTCGCTCTCTTCAGTTTTACTGTCCACAATGAGAAAAGCTGACGAAAATCCCAGGTTTCAGCAAAGATTCAGTTCCCAGGTCTTCTTTGGACTGAGTGTATTGAGGGTAAGTCAGTTTCTCCAGGCATCGCTAGGTCTTCCCTTTCCTGTTTTGGGTTAAGTTGCTGAATTATCAGCTGTGTTCCTGGCAGCAGTTGGTGAAGTCAGAAAATGTTAAACTACACATGGTAAAGCCCTTTAGGCTTCTGGGGATCACTGACAGAGGTAGGTTAGTGTGAGGGAAAACACTTAAGTCTTAGAAGGTCAAGGCCACTCTCAAACTTGTTCTACTGCATCAGCTACTTGTGGGTTATCAGAACTAACTGAATTATTTAAATGTTCATAAAATATGTCTCTTCTAGGTCATAAACAAGTACCTTTCTGACAATCATCAACAGTAGAAGAACACTTATTAAATGATTGTCAAATGTTCAGAGGGAGAAGTTTTTCATCTTTTCTTTGCTATACAAAGAGAAGCAAAAAAATTCAATCTTAGGGGCACTTCAGCACTATAAGAAAAAGCCTAAGAGACATTAGGGGAAATCCTTTCTCTTGGTCTTGATTGGCTTTGGAATGCAGTAACTGAAAGGCCTAATGCAAAGTTATCAGAGCAGAGAATCCACCTATGATATAAGAAGCATACACTAGCTAAATGAGCACACACACACACACATATATATATATTACACACACAAATATATATATTATATATTTTACATATTTTGAGACAGGGTTTCTCTGTAGCTTTGGAGTCTGTCCTGGAACTAGCTCTTGTAGACCACGCTGGCCTCGAACTCACAGAGATTCACTCTGCCTCCAAAGTGCTGGGATTAAAGGTGTGCGCCCAGCATGATCAAGATTTTTAAGAACACTTAAACACTCTAAGTGGCTAGAAATTTCTGTAATATCTATGAAAGAAACATACGCTTAAAAAAATAACTGCCGAGTAGTCAAAAAAACAGAAACCCTCACAAAACCCTAAAGAACTTATAAAAAATAATGCCAACATTTAGAAGATCTTTCCAGAAGAGAACTTTTAGAGGCCTGATTGCTAAAGATTTATAAACTGAATTCATTGATATATACAAGCATATGAGATTATCATCAAAAGGGGAGGAAGCTGTATGTCTTAAGGGGTATCTTTTACTCATTTTATTTTGGTCTTTGAGAGTCTCACTATATAGCCCGAGTGATCCTCAACCAGATCCATCCTTCTACTCCCAAGTCTCGGATTAAAGGTTATGAGTCACCACCTGCTATAATTTTTTGTTTCATTTTGTATTTTTCAAGACAGAGTTTCTCTGTGTAACAGTTCTAGCTGTCCTAGAACTCACTGAGCTCCACCTGCCTTTGCCTCCTAAGTGCTGGGACTACAGGTAGTACCACCACTGCCTGGCTACTTTCTATAATTTTTGAGCTGAGAAATAATATGATGATACCATTATTGGAAGATTCCATGAGATCAAAAGCTAAAGTAGCAGAAACTAAGTATTGTTTTATACATCCTATTTTGGAACTACCTATATAATGTGAGTAGCAGAGGGTCTAAGACTAATTTTCTCATGCTTATTTCATACCACTCTTAGGGCATGTGCATTTTTCTTAGCTTTCTGTATGAACACTAAATTCACGAATGTTAAGGAGTCGAAAGTCCACCTCTTTTACTGAATATTCTGGGTAGTGGCACAGCTTGTTGTACATCTCTGTGCGGGGTCATGGTCAGGAGTCAAGTCTGGTGGTGGTTCCTCTGATGTCTTTTATTTTTTGGAGTTGGGGTCTTCCACTAGGTCAGAGCTTATTGATTAGGCTTTATAGGTAGGGCCAGCCAGAAAGTCCCAAGGTTTTGCCTGTCTCCACCCTGCTAGCCGGAGCTGGACGGATAAGCAAACCTCGTAACAGCTTGCTAGCTTTGTTGTTGAGACAGGGTCTCCGGTCTCACCATTTTGAGGTTGGCCTCAAACTCACAGAAATCTGCTTGCTCTATGCCAAGTGCTGGGATTTAGGGTGTGTGTGCCAAACACTTCCCAGTCCTTGCTGGCTTTTAAAATGGAGGTTCTAGAAACCTGAACTCAGGTCCACATTCATACAAAGCAAGCACTTTCCAACTTAGCTAACTTTCTAGCCCCAGACTGACGTATTTTAGTGGCGAGCAGTATTTTGCTCAAGGTAAAAAATAAAAATAAAACAACCCCCCAAAAAACAACAAAAACCCTCTTAGTAACCCATCCCCCCCACCTTTGAGAAGGAACACTGGTCATTAACTTAAGCAATCCTCATCTCAACCTCCCAGTAGCTAAGACTATAAGCATTCATGTCACTGAACCTCGTCTTAGAAATGCACCTTCTGAAAGCAGTCATTAAGGTATTTACTGAAAATTTCATATTTCAGAACACTGTAGGTTCATGTACATGTCATAATTTGCACGACCACTGTGTCTATTGATGTTGTAACTGTTTTATGATTTAAGTTACTTTTATGAAAAAGTTACGATACAGAAGGCAGCTTAAACTTAAGTTTAATCACTTTTCTTTTCCAAGGAAACATACTAACTCAGTGGATCCAACTTCTCGTCTTTAATACCTGGATAAAGCAGGACAAAAATTCTGCTTTTATATTGAGTAAGAAACACATAGGAAATTAGAACAATTAAACTAGGTCAAAATGAAAATACTTCTTTCTGAAGGCTGCTGAATGCCTGAAGAAAAATGTTCTAGGCCAGATGAGATTTCAATTTCAGTTCTAGAAGCTACAATTTGTGATGGATCCTATTATCCCAGCCAGCTTTCGGCAATAAATAAATAAAAGGCTTCATTTCATGAAAAAGGCAAACATAGGCATTGCTTAGTATCTTAGTTAAGAGACTCTCCACTTCTCACAAATACTTGCCACCTACTTCAACGGAAGATTACTTACACAGTATTAAGAGACAAAGGAGGAGGTATCCAAGTCCCAACTAAAGTACAGAGGCTAAAAACACCCTGAGCAACCGCTTAGCTCAGGCCTCATCATCGAAACCCCTCCTCTGCCAAATGTTCAACTCAATCCTTCCCAAATACAGAAACACAGAAAGGAAGCCCCTCAACTTTACTGAGCTGTTGGGACAAGGATGGACATCAGTTCATTCCATTTCTTCAAATGTTCCTCAGATACTAAAAGCTGTTCTTAAAGTCAGGGTCTTATGTAGCCCTGGATGCCCTGAAATTCACTCTGTAGACCAGGCAGGCCTCGAACTCATGAGATCCACCTGCCTCTGCCTCCCAAATGCTTGGATTAAAGCATTTGCAACCACACCCAGCCTAAAATCTATTTTCAAGTTTAAAAAAATTATTTAAATGCAACACTAAAAATACAGAATATTACTAATATTAACAAATACTAATATTTGAAAACCACATTCAGACTAGAGCAGTCTTTCAGAAATAAAGTAACAAGAAACCAAAAACCAAAGCTTACCTACCCACCACGTGCACAAAGCAGGCAGGCATCAATAGGTAAGCCCCAGAAGGGGAGACAACATTGAAGCAGGAGTTGAACTCTAAGGCACCGGGATTAGGAAGTGAGGGTGTGCTCTGACAGTTCTACTCCTTAGAAGCACTCAAAGTGCCAGAAAGAGACAGACAGACTAGCAGTTTAATGGCATTTGCCTCAGTTATCTTCAATTGACAAGGTCTAACTGCAGGCTTCAATTTCACACTGAATGAACCCTAGTACCTAAAGTTCCTTCGCATTTCAATAAAGCACTCCTTTAAAGGATCATCGTGAAATTAAGATCTGCCATAGTTCATTAGCAGAGAGAGAATTTCTGATTTAGGAAGATATGCGGAGCTTTGCAGTTAACAAGGTGCTCTGCAATTGAGAAGACAGACATGCTGAAGGCAATGCCAAGACTCACCTCTTAAAATTAGATCATGTTCACATTTTCCCATTAAATGCTAAAGCATTAGCATGCAAACAAACAATGTATAAATATCTTAACACTGTTAGTCTGAAAGTAAGTCAAAATACCATGGCTAACCAGATTCTGTATTAAAAATCAACAAGTGTTAGGTCTAGGATTTTGGATTGATTGGCAATACCATATTCCCAACACCGAATGTTTATTTTGGAAAAGGGTTAATGAATGAGTAAAAAAGATGCAGTTGTTAAAAATGACCCAAAATCCCAAGAGAAATGATATAAATACACACATATATGTATATACAAATACATATACATATATATGAATAAGGACATTTGGGTTTAAAGTTAGTAGTCAAATTTTCCAAGGACGTCTTTTTTTTTTTAATACAAGCCAAATTTTATGTGTTTTAAAACCACCTCCTTGATCTAACACTGTTAGAAATGAATGAATTACCCAATTTGTATTTAATTTTTTCCCTGTAACGTCACTTGGTTCTTGGCTACTAACCTTTCATGTTACTCTTGGTTTTGTCAGTTTGCTTGCCTGTGGGGGTTTGGGCCTGCTGACCCTGCCCACTGGAAGAGGCTGCCTGCTGTGCTGCTTTCTGCTTTAACATCGTCCAATCAAATGTATAGTCGTATTGGTGGTTCAGGGTCCTGAAAAATAAAATGCCATGTTAACCTTTCAATACTGTCCAGCTTACTCCTCAAGACAGTCGACGGCATTTCTTTTCCTACTATGTAGCTCCAGTTGGCCTAGAACTCTCCAAGCTCAGATCTGTTTGCCTATTTCCAGAAGGCTAAGATTAAGGGAAAGCATCACTGGGTCCAGCTCCAAGGATCCTCTTTAGAGTATTTTGTCATAAGCATGGTAACCTCTAAGATTTTTCTTCTTGTAAATAACTTTAAGTAATTATTTACTTCTCACATGTCACAACTGAAAGGAAAACATTAGCCAATCTGGTCTGGTGAATTAAATTAAAAAAAAATTTTTCAAAAAGAAAACTGCCTTTTAAATTTTCAGTGACACAAGCCTTTAACTCCAGTGTTCAGTAAGACAGTTATCTACTGAGTTCAAGGTCAGCCTGGTCTACATAGTGAGACCCTGTCCTAAAAAACAAACAAAATCAAAGCAGAAACTTCCATAGGGGCATACTAGAAATAGAAAAACAAAACAGAACAATAAGAACAAAAAAACCCAGAATAAGCAACTACAGTGAGTCAGGTGTCAATTACCTAGAAAGATTCATTTAGCACCTCCTTGGGGAGCATGCACACGCACACAACTGGCAGCTCTGTGAGGGAGTGGTGTTAGTATCTCAGGACATCATTTCTGGAACTAATGATAACCCTGAACTCCCAATCCTACCTCTATCTTCTAAGTGCTGGAGTCTCTGTAGCCCTCTGGCAGATTCTATATTTTAATGCCCCTTTCTTTTTCTTGGGAGAAGGAACACATAATTTCAAGACAAGGTTTCTCTGTGTAGCCCTGGCTGGCCTGGAACTCTGCCCTAAGAGCTGAGATTAAACATATGTACCACCATTCCTGGCTTTTAACACTTTATTTGGTACTGAATAGGTTTCTGTATGATTGAAAT